AGAGAAAAGAAAGAATGTAAAAATGAAAAACAGCAAAAGCGAAAAGAATAAAAGATAAAGAAAGCATGCAGGAATGGACAATCCATAGGCCCTGCTACTCCACCACCATCTTGAACATCAAGAACCCTAGAAAAGGACCTAGAAAAGGTCCTTTCTCTGTATTGTAAACCTCTGAGTCCATGACACTTTCAGCCCAGCAGCGCCTTAAAATGACTGGCTGGATATAAAAGAAATCTAAGGGCAGCTGTGCCTTGACAGCCCCAAATGGAATTGCCACCTTGTGAACATGTCTGCTCATTTAGCAGATGGTATAGCTCTGAGATGATGGATAGGGACATCCTTAATCTTGTGCGTCATTGCCATTCTGCCAGTTGGAGATAGCTGCAGTGAAAACAATAAATACGGCATCTCACCACCCCTTTGTATCTCCTTGGTGAATGTTGTTCTGCTGCTTCTCCCTCAGGAGGCTATGTTGGCAGCCACATATGCTTGCTCTGGTTACGGAGCTTACTGAAGCTCGTGTCGCCGATGTTTTCTTTTCCTGTTCTTTCTCAGCAGGAGCAATACCATAAGAAAGGCTGGATTGCTATTGACAAATATTACTCATTTGAAAGAGATTATGAAGAGAAGTTCAGAGAAATCATACAATGAGACTTCAGATCCTTGACAATCAAGTTGAACATTGTGCCCTGACATAGGATTGCATGGAGTTTTCCCAAGGAGGTAACAGCCATGCCTTAATAAGAAAATTTGAGGTATGTGACCTCACCAAATACATGACAGACAACCAAAGTGTCCATGTCCCATTGGTATTAGGTTCCTTCCAGTAGATCCCCCTGAAATGGACTCCTTAACATCCCTTCCATATCATTGCCTGTGTTCTCACAGAGTTACATTTCCATGTGAGCATTTGGCAGCTGCTCTGTGTTTCCTTCCAGGGCATGCTATAAATTGTCCTGGACAATTGGGAACACAAACTGCTGTTTAATAGTTCCTTGTGACAATAAGTCCAATTGAGTTTGGATCACAAAGTTGGGTTGGGTTGCTAATCGCTTAAGAGGGGCCAATTCATTGAACTGTGTGGAAAGCCAGGAACTCAAGTTCTGGGAACAGACCAAGGCCACAATGTAATGCTCATGGTTGCTTCAAGACATAATTTACGTGGATTCTTTGACCTGTCCTGACTTCAAGATGATATAATTGCTTTGTCAGTGGAGGTATGATTCATGCAATTACCCCTGCCAATGTTTCAAAGTAATGTTCCAAATTGCATCCATACTGAAAAAAATAGTTACTTCCTCCTCCCACTTAGGATGCAGTCCCAGCCAGCATCTGAACTTATTGCTCAGTTGATTTTCAGATAACATGGTGAAGTTTCAACTTTGTGTTTGCATGAATAACTTGCAGACTTTCCCGGTGACTCAAGAATTATCCCCACTTTTCATGTTCCATTTTGATCACTGTAGCCTTGATGAATTCAGCCAGGCATCTTTACTTGGCAATCAATGTGCCTGTTTGACACCCTGAGCTCATGACTCTCCAGATTTCTGTGCCCTTGCTGGCCCAACACCCTCTGATGTAGAGCCCGCTGTAAAGGTCGCCTGCTTGAATCATCCTTTCAAAACCGCCCAGATCCCTCTAATTTACGATCAGCTCCCACCACAATGTCTGATTATCTCCATCATTGTCACCATTCCTTCAATGACCCAGTAAATTGAGGGAATGGTGACAGACCCAGTGAGGCCTGTTCCCAGAACTTGAGTTCCTGGCTTTCCGCAACATCCATTGAATTGGCCCCTCTTAAGCTATTAGCAACCCAACCTCCATGAGCGACCATGGCCCACCCCAGACTGACTTGACAGGAATGCCCCAACTGACCACAGCTCAGCAGCCCTCCCCCCACCCAGACTGATCTCTCCACATCACTCCAACTGACCTACATGTAAACCTCAGGCTGTTTACACTTGTCCTCAAGGACTGACAGTGACCCAATCTCAGCACTGCTGTGGCGTGGATCCCAGGCATGCAGAAGACCCTAGATTGGATTCAGGCTATTTCTGGACTGACTGAAGTCCACCCTTGCCCATTAAACACTCCTGCCCTTTGACTTTCACATATCACCATCTTCTTCAAGCAGTGTATTTTCCACATAAACTGCTGTCACATACTGCAGCTTTGATGTTGACCTGGTACAGTGCTAAACATTGAAATGTTTCTCTCCCCCAACTGAAACATTTACTATCTGGCAGTCTCCAGTGCTGTTTGCTGCTTGCCTCTCCTCCTGCACTAACAAAAGCATAAAGCAGAGACCACCTGCCTCTAAATCAGTAGTGGAGGCCTTCTGCGCACAAACAAAAACAAACTAAAATGCAGTAGATACATGGCGCCATGTCAGCACTAAAAATCAAACAGACATACACCAGATGCCTGGCTGTCCCTCAGCACAAACAACCTGCCTATGAGCATGCAGATCCTGACTCTCCCTCAACTCCAAAGTACACGGATAAAGCCTTTAAAGCATGCCTGTATAAGCCAGGAACAAATATGATGATGTTGTGAGGCCAGTACTTTGCTGATTCTGAGCTGGGTGGATGAAGGATCCTGAAGTAGCGTGCCCAGTGAACACGGAGGCACCTTATTCAGATGAAGCAGAGAAGCAAGGTGACTGGCATAGCTATTCCACAAGTTGTGATGGACGCTCATGAAACAAGTCAGCAGGTACCAGCTCTGTTCTACCTGTTCAGGTTTTGAGCCATCTAATCTCTCGATTGTGGAGCGAACAATTGAGAGCAAGATGTTGATGTGGTGAGTTGAGCAGTTAATGAGCTGCAGATGCATGCAAATAGGCTTCTCAATAGCCGACAGCAGAGTTTTAAACTTGCTATTTAAAATGTGAGGAATTAACTGCAACATGTTTTGGTTCTTGATAGCAAGAATCTGATTTTTTTGAATCTCACCCTATTAAGCAATATCACTCGCTGTCATTCTCATATCTTGGACAAGAGAAAATTCTTCCTGAGCAAAAATTGTTTGTTTTCCACTGACGCAGCACGCTGTTGAACTCAGAGCTAGGCTTCAACCCAGTTCTGAAGGGGAGTCACACTGTACCCAAGCATTAATTCTGCTTTACTCTCCACAGGTGCAGCCAGAGTTTCTCCAGCATTGTCTGTGATTGATCTAATCCAGTAACAGGATCATTTACTTCTACTTTTACAATTTGCTTGGCTCTCCTCAAACTGAATTTTAATTCACGATTTTATTACAACCATGGTATCCAACAATTTCCTTGCCCAGCTATTGACACTCAGTCTCCATTAAAACCAATTTCTCCATGTCATGCCCCTCCATATGAACCCACCTTGCATCTTGCTTACATTTACACAAATTTAAACTTCTTTCTCCGGCACATTTACCCTTAAAATCCTTGCATGTACCCTATTATTCCTTCAAAGTCACACCCCATACTGCACCTCTGCCATGCAACTACTACTGTCTCTGTGGTTTACTGATACTGGTCTCAATTACATTTTCACTGTCTCCATTTCGTCATTGGTGACAGTGCCTTCAGTCAGCAACATTATTCTTTGCAACTTTTGCCTTTAGCTCTTTGTCAGCTGTTGGCCACTTCCAGTCTTTTAAAGCTGACTTAAAGCTCATCATCTTGACTGAGTCTTTGATCACACACCTTAACTTCCCCATAAAAGATCATTATCTTCTACTGGGAAGCACATCCTGCTATATATAAATACAATTGAATTTATTCTTCGATAATGTAACTCATTCAAAGATTTCTCACAAGCAATTTTTTTTAAATATGTTTGAGACACCAAGGTAACATGCCAATTGTGATATTGTGCAAGACATCAACAAGTTGAAAAAGATTGGGAGATGAGTCAAAGTAAATCTGGAAGTGATGCAAGTCACCTTAAAATTGGTGGAGACAGAGGAAGGAAAGAATGAAGGAGAAACCAGAAATTGCCACACAAACCCAGTCACAATTCCACAGCACATAAAGTTCACCATATCAGATTTTTTGAATGGAGTATCGTTTCACTAGTTAGAATCTGGACTAATGTTCCACTTTCCTTCTCTCCATTTTTACCTAGAAATATTGAAGATATGTAGGGACCCTAATCATGTAACCTGGTTTGGAAAATTTAGTTTTTGATTTCAACACAATTTCTCCTCCAAAGTGAGAGATGCAAATGATACAATTTACTGTCAGTAGTTTCAAGTCCTCATTGTGTGGCTGAAACACAATACGGATGTCCAAACTCTGTCACAACAATGGACCCTACACCTAGAAACCATGGAGATATAGATTTCCCAAATGATCCTCCTAAATTTAACACTTGGACAACTTGTAAGTATTTTGCATGTGTTGTCTGGATGCAGCCAGCCAGATTGAATGGGTGGATGGGTTCTGAAGAAGGAGTGGGAGTGTCAGCTTTTGAGGGAATAAGTAAAACCATGGAGCAATGATAAACAGATAAGCTTGGTGCGTCAGAAGGAAGTATTCCCGTTCCCTCTGGCTGGCAAACAAAACTGGGAAGACCTGATGAATCCTGGTCTTAATGCCTCACATCACTTGACGGGTGACTCAATCTCGGGAAACCGAGTCCACACAATTGATGCTGTAGGTATGAAAACTAATACTCTCGTTGAATTGGAAGCATGCAGCCTCATCAAAACACATCTACTTCCTGAGAGCAGGTTTGTTGTCATCATCAACGCCTCAGTCCACTTAAGTTAAACTAAAACTCGCTGTGATAGAACTGGGTTTGAGTCAGAATCCGTATTTTTAACACTCCAAAACCACAAACTCCCATTGTATCTAAATGTCATCATTAGGAGAACATTCCCTGTGAGAATAAACGTCCTCACACATTCTGAGAGCTTACCAATTTAGCACCAAATTTCACAGTTTTGCCAAAAGGCCTTGCACCCATTCGGAACAGTGTTAATCACATCGACCAATATATCTAAAAACTTCACAATACCTTGGTTTCTGCTTCATGTGTGTCAAACAGATGTGAATCCTCAGAAGTTGACTGAAGAAAGGTCCTACCTAAAGAGTTCATTCGTGGATATTGGTTTGTGAAATCAAGATGAGATGGACCAGGGATGTGAACTGAAGAGGTTTTAATGTTGCTCTTGTTAGTCAGGTCCATGGCCTTTTCTGAACTGTCTTTGGGCCAAAAGGCAGAGTGTGGTGTTGTTGCTTTCTCTATAGGCTGCATATGTAAATGCGGAATATAGTCAGGAGAACTTGGCTCAAAAGACAACTGGCCACAACTGAAATGTTGGCCACAAATCCGAGAATACATTGTTGGTGTCCAACCTTTTCTTGTAAGTTGGATTGCTTTTGTTATAGCTGCAGTATGACTCCCTTTTTTTCTGATGACTGTGAACCACCGAATATGAGTGTCTTTGCCCCGGCGACTTCGGCATCCAGCAACACTGCAACAATCTCCATGACTGTTTGAACGTGAAGTGGATTTTTGAACAATGACAGATTTTGGATCAATGCCAAGTCTTTGACACAGAACTCTTTGAAAGTATACCCTTGTTCCTGAAACAGGGAGTCCATATTGTTTACAGAGCTCTCGTAGTTTGGCTTTTGGGCCTTCCTTAATCTGCTGAATGGTCACCGATATTTCCTCTGAGGTATTTATGTTAGCCATCATAAACTGCTGAAAAGGCAAAGAATTAACATAGTTAACATATTTGCACTGATGTGAAAAGTCCTAACGATCATCGTCCTCCTGTTCTGTAGTAATCACGCCACAGTCTGAATGCTAAAAGATACAATTCAGCAACATCATTTCTGATCAGTCAGTGTGTGTATGTGTGTGGAGTGGAGCGAAGGGCCTGCTGTTTCAGGATCTGCAACTTTATTGACTAGGGACGCATTTAGTTGGCCTACATCCAATTCAATTTAGGCATTGATTTCACAGCTAGTGCAGTTTGGATCAGCCGAGTGCTTGTGATTGTTTGCAACAAGGATAAACGCAGCATTTTTGCATGAACTGAAATCGAGAGTTTGGTATACTTCTTACTAATGCGTCATCATTGAAATGTACAAAGATAACTGAAATACATAAATTGATATTCATTGGATGAGGGATGTTTCAAAGTTTTAAAAAACTGACTGCTTACATCTAAATATAGAGGCATACTAAAACATATTACAAAGTTAATTTGTAAGTAATTTTAGATTAAGTTTCTTATAGCTAGTTAATAAAAGTTGTCTAAATTGTTTGTAAGATATTATAGGTTTTGAATTAATTTTCAATTATAGTCTCAGGCAGAATCACTTCAGTAGCAAATGACGTACAAATCAACGTCAGTAAAAATACTGTGGGCTAGAAATGTGTTTGTTCCCCAATAAAGGACACAGGGATTGTGATGCATGATTATCCTACACCCATTCAAATTAATACAGGCATTGTACAAACTCCACACTGCCTGAAAATTATTGTGATGGTCTTGCACAGTCCAGCAACAAACAGGATGTTATGGGAAGTTAGGAAAGAAATTGGGGGGCCACTGCCAGAATATTTGTATCATCTATAACCATGGGTGAGGTGCTGGAGGACTGAAGGATGGCTAATATTGTGCCTATGTTTAAGAAAGGCTGTAAGGAGAAGCCTGGAAACTATAGACTTGTGAGTCTGACATCAATGGTAAATTGTTGGAAATGATTCTGAAAGATAGGATTTATGGGAATTTGGAGAGGCAAGGAATGATTCAGGATAGCCAGCATGGCTTTGTGCAAGGAAAATCATGTCTCACAAACTTGAGTGAGCTTTTAAAGGAAGTAGCCAAAAAGACTGATGAGGACAGAGTGGTTAATGTTGTTTATTTGGACTTTAATAAAGCCTTTGATAAGCTTCTGTACAGTAGGCTAATTAGTAAAGTTAGATCACATGGGATTCAGGGTGAGCCTTGCCAATTGGATACAAAATTGGCTTGATGGTAGGAGACAGAGAGTGGTCGTGGAGGGTTGATTGGAAGCTTGTGACTAGCGGTGTTCCACAGGGTCCACTTTTGTTTGTCATTTGTATGAATGATTTAGATGAAAATATAGGAAGCATGGTTAGTAAGTTTGTGAATGACACCAAAATTGGTGGTATGGTGGACAGTGAAGAAAGTTATCTAAGATTACAAAAAGATTTTGATCAATTGGGTCAATGGGCTGAGAAGTGGCAGATGGAGTTTACTTTGGATAAATTTGAGATTTTGCATTTTGATAAAACAATCAGTATATACAATCAGTAAGGCCCTGGATGTAGAACAGAGAGACCTACGGGTTCAGGTACGTAATTTTTGAAATTTGTGTCAGGTAGACAGGGTGGCTAAGAAGGCGTTTAGCATGCTTGCCTTTATTGCTCAGATCTTTGAGGATGTTGATGAGGCCTCTTTTGGAGTACTGTGCACAGTTCTGATTGCCCTACTATAGGAAGGATATTATTAAACTGGAGAGAGTTCAGAAAATAGTTACCAGGATGTGACCAGGAATGGAGGGTTTGAGTTATAAAAATCGGCTGGATAGGCTGGGACTTTTTCACTGGAGTGTAGGAGGTTGAAGGGTGACCTTAGGTAATACACCCTCGGTAAAGGACTTGAATTGGTGCAGCATCTGTCAACCCTCTATTCAAGTGTAGTCATTCTTATATAGAACATATAGAGTACTTACATAGCAGCCAACATGCACACAGCAAACAAGCTTTATTTTTATCAATTCTTGTGGCTATGATTTATTTCCAATCCCTAATTCTCAAGAAAGAAGGTGTAGGTGAGCCTCCTCCAGCTTAGTGGTTTACAAAACCAATTAAAGTAGAGTCACATTGGAGTGAGCCTAAAGTTACATGTAGGCCAGAGTCAGTAAGGATAACAGATTTCCTCCATTCATAAGCCACATGGGTTTTACAACTGCCTGGTCAGATCACAATCGGTATTAATGTTTTTTTTTATTCTAGGTTTATTAGTTGATGGAATTTCAATTTCTTTGAATACTTTTTGGTGGGATTTAAAGTTATGTCTCTCGAGCTTAAATTCTCTGGGTTACTAGTCTACTAACATTACCACTATGCCACCAACCTCTGGCTCCCATAAATAGCAATGAGATAATTGAACAGATAACCTCTTTTTAATGGCATTAGATGGAGAACCATGAGAAGCTGTGCATGAATTAAAAATTATTGGCTTGGGGTTTCTGATGGCGACTTGGCAACCCAAGGTTTTGTACCTAGGCACCTTTGTACCTCAGATGGAACCAGAAATATTGACTGTGTACACTTTTCACTATACTCGTGTATCCTTGTGCTTGAGTACATGTGACAATAAAACCTAATTTTAATTCTAATAGAAGTTCATAAAATCATGAGGGGCATAGATAAGGTGAACAGCAAAGGTCTTTTCCCTAAGGTGGGGGAGTTCAAAACTGGGGGTATAGTTTTAAGGTGAGTGGAGAAAGATTTAAAAAAGACAAGAGGGGCAACTTTTTACACAGAGAGTGTATGTGGAATTAACTGCCAGAGAAAGTGCTGGATGCAGGTATTGTTACAACATTTAAAAGACATTTGGATAAGTACGTGAATAGGAAATGTTTGGAAGGATATGGGCCAAACGCACGTAGGTGGGACTAGTTTAGTTTGGGAACATGGTCGGTGTGGACTAGTTGAACTGAAGGGTCTGTTTCCATGCTGTACGACTCTATGACTCCATGCTGCTGAGTCTTTGCATGCCTCAGCTGGGATCTCTAGTTGACCCTGACCTAGTGCCGCAGAGTCAGTCTGCATTGCTTAACACCAACCAACACTTGTTAGAAATATAGAAAATAAGAACAGGAGTAGGCCATTCATTATGATCAAGGCTGGACGGGGTGGTGCCTGTTGGCTGAAGTCATTGTGGAAAGATTATGAGATGGAAGTGGAGTCGAAATGGTGACCAAAATTCTTTGATCTAGAAGCCTTAGTATAAGAGGTGGAAAGGTGAAGACAGGCCTCTTTCATCTGGCAATCAGCAGGCCCTCCAGAGAAACTGCAAAGGCCATGAATTTGCAGTCAATATCAGCAATCTCACTGCATGGACTCAAAGGCAATTCCACATAAAGTTCAATTATCTAACCTGAGTGGTTCCACTTCCTTACTGACAGTCCTCATCAAGGATGGCTCAAAATCAGTATTCATCCTCACCCACATGGCACTGCTGAAAGCCTCATTCCCAAATTTCATAGCTTCCACATACTGCCAACCATTCAACCATCACTGGCAAGTAACCCAAACATATTACACAACACTAACTGACACCCTTCCCTCCCTCGCAGCACAGTACAACCTTTTGGCGTGCAGACAGGCGCAGTGGCATTTTCTCAATGTCTAGGAGCAGACAATGCTGTCAATGGTTGGTATGGCCATAACTGAGACCAGCAGCAGAACTGGCAATCATGGAAGATGATGATGTTTCTACACAATTCACCTCTGATATCACACTTACCCTCTATCCCACAGTAGTGTCTGACTTGCAAGATGTAAGCTGTGTAAGTATGCGCCTCTTAGTTTTCCCACTTTCCTTCATCCTATCTTTAACCTTATGTTTTATTCTTTGAAGTACCTAAGAACTGGCACCCTATCAACAACTGCTAGAGGTGCCTGAAGTGCAGAAGGTATAGAGGGTAATGAAAAAGAAATTTTGTCACCCAATTTCGTATGCAGTCACATTTGCCAACTTAGAGACTGGCATGTTTTGAATTTTAAAAGGTAGCGTAGAATTGGACTCTACAAGGGATAAGTCACCAGCAGAAATGGGTTGCAGTTAAGGCAGGGATTGAACAGCATGGGTGACAGTCTTTGCACAAAGCTTGAAGTCCATTATTCACAGATTGCAAGGGATGGACAGTTCCACGAGAACACTTGCAGACCCAAACCTGGTTCAGCACTTGGTGGCTGATATCTCAGCTTTCAGTGAAAGAGAAGCCATCAATGTTTGATGCTGCAGTAGATAATCGGAATGGAGCTTACTAAGTCTCAACTTGATGCCATTAGAGCTACAGATACCAGTGTTCAAAGGTGTTCTTGGGTCTCATGAGTGCTTCAGTATTCTGTTCTCCAGCACTTTACTAAGATTGCTAAAGCACTACCCGCCATGGAGAATGAGGGACGTTTCCTGGTTCATGAACCTGGTATTATTTTTTCCTCAAGATGATAGTACTGTTCTCCCAGAATTACCACACTGCCAGTATTTTAGTTGTGGTCCATCGTCGAGGCTGTTGAAGCCCATACCAAGGTAGTGAAGTCTCAAGCCAGGCCTTCAGGAACCAGAGCTGCCTGAGGTCATCATGTACCATCTCTGCGGTTTCAGTCACTGGAAGTCAGTAACCTTCTATCAGTCGTGCTGCAGTCAGTTGGGGAGGACAGCATACGCTTGGCTTGGCATGACAGGCACTAAGTGAATACATGACTACCAGTTAAGTAAGACATTACTGCATTAAAATATGAGTGAGGCTCACTGGGATTGATTATCTGGAAAGGATATTGCTGGGAAAAGGATTGACTTTTTTTTATTTTTGCTGCTGTTAGTAAGATCTTTCTAAACTGTATTTTGCATAACTTTGTTTTTCCTTTTGTACAAGAAACTTTTTTTCACCTATTAAAAGACATTGGCTGCCTCTGGTGAATACGCTCAGTGT